ATGAAGATGAAGATGAAGATGAAGATGAAGATGAAGATGAAGATGAATATGAATGTGAAGATGAATATGAATATGAAGATGAAGATGAAGATGAAGATGAAGATGAAGAATTCCCTCTATTAAGTTTCACTTCTTCCGCGCGTAGGGACTACACGCACTGAGTTTTTTTCTTATTTTTTTGTTTTCTGTCACTACCTTTTTTTCTAAAAGTACTTTTTACTAATTTGTGGTAAATTTTTTTAGTTTGGGTAAATATTTTTTTTTATTTTATTAATAAAAAAAGCTAGTTAAATTTAAATAAGGCACATTACAAAAAAAAACACAGAAAACGATTCACACAGTTTTTTTGCTAAGCATATTTCCCTTGGTCATGAAAGGGTTAATATGAACCTTAACTTTCACAACTATTTATATCAAAAGCACGGTACGTTCGATAAGAACCGGTTTAGACTCGTAACAATGGGTTGTTCTCGTAGAAGACGTGACAACAATATAATTTAAGCAAGTAATCTTTAATCAAGACACTTTTTTAAATAACAAATATTAACAAAATTAATATTAAAGCCGTCAACCAAAGCTTAATTAGCTTAGCGGTTACTGAAATAAAAATATGGCTATTGAACAGCTTTGAAATTAGTTAACCAGAAATGAACGGCCAAAGCTACGGAAGGATCGCCATATTCGGTACACTTAAGGCTATTTTTCACCAGCATGTGATAAGCTAACTCTGTTTTTTCTTCAGGCTGAGGTGCATCACTTTTCTGCGGACGAAGTGAGAATTGTTAGAGGCTTTCTTACTAGCCACTGCAGTGTAATGAAGCACTTGCCGGAGCTAGAAGTGGTTTATACTGAGTTGCATCTCTGATCTAATCTTATCAATAACTTAGGTACATATTTACATCTTATCTTATCTCAACTAATCATGAACCACATCCTACAGCGCCATCTAGCGGAAAAAAGTTTCAAAATTAAAACATGTCTATATAATATTTCAACTGGCAAATAAGTATTAGTCAAGGTCCAATAGGCCGTTCCAAAAAAAAATTTAAGAGACGAGGTTAAAAAATAAAATAAAAATTGTCTGAAGGCTTTTCTAACGTGTGTATATGACCTTAGTTTTAATACCGCGGCAATCTTTGGATTTTTATATTTAAATTCATGGCAAAGTAAGATTAACAAGCAGCAGATTGTTTCATATAATAAATACAACTATTTATTTAGCGTAAAAATGTTAAAAAAAATTTATTCTCGCAATAAACAAATAAATATGCTAATTTAACAAGACAAAACAATTATAAAGCCATTAGCGCGCCTGCCCACTTAGCATTGCTTTCCACGTGAACTCAATGATTTCACCGCTTAGATAACTATCGAATTAATTCATCAATACATCGTTAAATTTTTATCTCCTTTTTCTTATTGGTTATTCTTCTAGTGCCCGCATTAAACTCTGCGCTTCTTCTCTTAGTCTTCAAATACTGCCAACTAACTAACTACCTGTTTGCATAATTATAGGTTCACGCTCCTTAACTTCCCCCACGCGCTAGTTGCTGATATGGTTTTTGTTGTGCAACAACAAAGCGCACCTTAAGTCAAATGCTCGCCAACACTCAACACCTGTATAGTACATACATATTTGCGCTGTTGCCCGACAAGATCAAGGTGAATCTTAATAATACATTACGTATACGCAACGTCGCACAATGACGACGACTGACTACATCGCAAGTCGCAGAAGTCGTTTTGCTGCAAATCATCGCAGTTAATGGCTAGTAAGTAGTGCGCAGCAAATACTTGTATCGCATTACCTGCTCGCTATTGAATGCATGAATGAATGAATGGGTGAGTGAGTGTTTGTATGTATGAATGGTTGAATATCTAATTGTGGCTTGAAGGCTTGAAATACTCGTAATATTGCTTTGCATAAAAGTGGCTTTGCGCATCGGATATATAGAATAATTTTGTTATTTATGTATACTTGTTTCCACAATTCATTGGCGTAGCGCTGTGTGTTGTTTGTGTTGTAATCGATGCAAATTGTTTGACATGGCTGCCTGACTTTTGTAGAATGGAACACAATAGTGAGTTATTTTCTGAAAAAAAAATAAATAAATAAAAATAAAATAAAAAATTAATGCTGATAAATATAGAAATTGTTAGCGCGCATGCGGTGATTATCTGTGTGCTATGTCTGGAAGCTGATGTCAACTTTTGTCGCCGCTGCTGCTGTTATGCGCGCCAGTCACTGTGGCGGCGACAGTTGCGACTGCGCATGACGTAGCTTAACAAGCACGCTAACGACCAGCGTGCGGGACAAGCCTTGCTTATTATTGCTATTATTTGTTTACTGGCTACGTGATGTTTATTTATCGTATTTGCATTGATTTATTTTAATCTTTGTTATTGCGTTGTTTTCAATAAGATTTTGAAATCCATAAATAATATTAGTTTTTTACCTTAATTTTTTTTTTTGGTCATTTTTAATTGCTTAATTTAATTTATTTATTCTTTTTTTGTTGCTTAATTTGAATATTCAGATGATAAATATCGATATACAACTTTTTGTTTGATTTTGTAACTTGTTTTGTAACAAGTCATTTACCATATCTGGAAAAAAAAAACTCTTATGAGTCCATGAAGTAAATCGCAGCTTTAGAAACAAAAATAGATAAATAAAAACAAATAATGATCAAGTATGGGAATAAAAATTAAGCAAAATCTTTCTGTATGTAAATATTAGCGCGCTTCATCAAAAAAAAAAAGTTGCTGTTTCTCCAGCGGAATTATAAGACTTATTATAATATTCTAATGTTTCCTCCAAAATCGTTCTGAAAAATATTAAGATTTTCGTTAGTTGTGCCGGTTTTAAAACGCCTCCAAAAATCTCATTATTTTGATTCCGTTGATAGAATTTGTAATCATATTTATGCAGACCTTTTAAGCGTAAGCTCTTCCGTCACCTGAGGTGATTTTTTGAAAAACTTTTTTTTAAGTCTCATTTTCTTTATAAAAAAAACCCGATTTATGGATGTTTTTTCAGATCGGTGCTGCACACGTAAATCTTAGTATTTTTCCGACATATTTTGGAACAAGTGTTAAATTATAACAGATTTTATAGTTCCGATGGAAAACCAGTACCAATATTTTTAAATAAAAATATTTAAAGTCGATCCAACAAATTTAAGGGGGAGCTTCAACCCTTGCACTTTATTGGACTAATATTGAATGGGCTACTGCATACCCGAAAATTTCGTAAAGATTCTGATTAAAAAGTTTACATTTTGAAGAAAATTTTTTGAAGTTTGACTAATTTTTGTGAAATTTGTGCAAGCTTTGAAACTTTTATAGTATGCTAGGAAACAATTTATTCAAAATATTTTAAAAACAAGTAAAATGCATTGGGTGAATGCTCACCACCACCGCTGAATATGGGCTGGCACCTTCACGATATACTTTCAACTAAATTTTCAACATAACTTGCGGCAAGAGCACGCCAAATATTCGGCATTCCACTTGAAAGCTGCCTCAAATTGCCTACAGGTTATTAATGTATGGAACTGACATTTCAAGTCACCGCAGAAACGTCTCCGCGTGTCCAAAGCTGCGGGTGATTGTCTTCTTGTGACATCTCTCAACATATTCCCAGCCGACTTCGAAGCCAATGCTTATGAATTGTGAACATTTTAAGGCAATCCAAATTTTGAATAAAGATATCTAACTGCCCAAATGTGCGTTCTGAGGAGCGGCAAGTCTCTTCTGATTGTAGTTTTTTATTTTTTGTTTTAATTAATCTAAAAATCGGAATACGCCGCTGAGTTCCAACTAACTTGTAATTGCATTTTGGAAAACCCGGTCAACATCATAAATATTAAAAAAACTAATCTAAAGTTACCTGCTTTTACTACGTTTGTGCGCACTGACTTATATAATTTGTTTACTCTGATACATCCTGTTGGTGAAATACGTGCCTACAAACAGACAAAGTCCAGCATTAATATTTGTCTATATGTATGTTTTGCTATGCACATTTTCACTTCCAACCTTTGCACACTTCTCTCTCTGCGATAATTACCACCACTCGCATTGATTGAAAATTCTACAAAGCAAGAACTATGAAAGCGAAATTTCGTCCTTTTTTTCATTAATCCTTTTTTTGCTTTTAATTTCTGTATTCATTTGATCAAAAATTCTAACCGATTCTATTTTTGTTTTTCCCATTTTCATTTGCAGATAAAGCTCAAAAAAGTGCTCGGCCTCACAGTTTGCAGCAATGCCGCCTTGGATGTTTCACCCGTTAGCGGTTTGCTGGCCTATCCAGCAGGGTAAGTTTCACTTTTGCGATTTAACCACAAATGCTACAAGCAAAATTGTTGCACTATTTTTGTTTTTTTTAGTAGCACTTTCATTTACCAAAACCTCGTTTGAGTTTGAAAGTTTATATCACGCGCTTGGAAACCAAAACCGCGTGGCTTTGAATGTTCGAAGAACTTTTATTTCCCATTCAATAGGCAGAAAAGTAAAAGATAAGCCGCAATTAAATGGTTTTTCATTTAGGAAAAAGTAATATTAAATTGAAATCGAAAGTAGGCCCGAAGGCGCAACATTACACTGCCACAGATCCATATATCTGCCATCGTTCGCATTCCTAATCAACCTTTCCGACAATGCTCATAAATAGTGATTTCGTAGATCTGCTAGTATTTGCAGATAATTTCTATTGTTATCTGGATCTAAATCTTGGTAGAGTGCAATTCGCTTAAGTACTTACCAACTTAGAGATCCATATACTACTTCACCGCTGTTATTTATTTTTTCATTACATCAACTGAAGATAGCACTCTCAAATAATTCACCCATCTCCTTGCTTATGTTAATTGTATATCAGCCACCGGTCCGTAAGACATCAACTTTGCATGTCTAGGTTGTCGCTTAGCGTACGCTGAACCGATTATGAGCTCATCTATCCAAAGGTAGTCCACAGGTTGTCCTCCCTCCTGTTCGGAGAGAAGGCCTCAAGCCAATTCCTCAATGTCCTCAAACCCAAAGAAACTTGATTTGGGAGTAATCCGATGCGAGTTTCCGTCGTACCATGACCAATCGTAGAGTCTAGTCGGTGACAAAACTCAGAGAGATGATAGGAAGATAAGATTTACGGGCAGTTCCAGGTGAGATATACCTTCTCCAACTCTGTCTTCCAACTTCGAGCCATTCGTGAAGATTTTTATTCGAGGCACTGCCATTCTCCCATTCACCCCTTAGAAGGATGTGAGTAGAGAAGTATCCGTCCGGGGCTGGCCTAGTAACGCACCGGTACTTGTTTTTGGTATTACGTGAAAGTTTCCAAAGATATCCGATGGCTCATAAGCCAGGTTATTAAAAAAGAAACCGACAATTTTATCCTGATGGCGTAGCGAAGAAGATAAAGATAGAGATAAAGATAAAGATAAAGATAAAGATAAAGATAAAGATAAAGATA